CAGTTTCCAGCAGTGCTTTCCACCCTAAATGTATATTCCCAGAACATTATGCCGGCAACTGAGGTTAAGGCTTGGGAAAAGAGAACAGGGGTGTGCGGCACTGCCTGGTGCCAGGTTGTTTGCACAAGTGTAACCAGACCTTGCCCTGCGGCATTGAGGCAACTCGCCGTTTGTAGATCAGCATTAAACTCCATGGCCTTCGGAGGGCCAGCAGAAGGTTCTCCCATGCACACTGCAGCAGTTTCTGGGCTGGAGACACCGTGGTTGTGGAAGAACTTTTGTTCCCGGCTTCACTGTCCAGGAGCCTGCTCCTGGGCTGAAGCTCACCACAGTAATGCGACTTTGCCTCGTGCCATGGGGTGCAGAGGAAGTGACAGCCACGCTGGGTGTTTCCCTCGTGGTGGTGCCCACCTCGTTAAACAGCATTGCCACACGTTTTGAATGTTTCTTTTCAGCTGCCAACTTAGATCTCAGCGGGGTGCAGGCTGCTCTCACTGCCGTGAAGCCACCTGGATCTGCAGCCTTATCCAGAGCCAGTCTGGGTGTGCGCAGGTAAGTGTCAGTGTTCCCAGTGCGCAGAGGAGGCCACTGAGGTGCTGGGATGCACTGGAGCAGCTCTGCTCTGGAGCCAGGCTGAGAGAGCTGGGCTGGGGCAGCCTGGACAAGAGAAGGCTCCTGAAGGGGAGACCTGAGAGCAGCTCCAGTGCCTGAAGGGGCTGCAGGAAACCTGGAGAGGGGCTTGGGACAAGGGATGTAGGGCCAGGCCAAGGGGAATGGCTTGAACCTGCCAGAGGGGAGACTGAGATGAGCTCTTAGGCAGAAGCTCTTCCCTGGGAGGGTGCTGAGGCGCTGGCACAGGGTGCCCAGAGAAGCTGTGGCTGCCCCATCCCTGGCAGTGTTCAAGGCCAGGTTGGACACAGGGGCTTGGAGCACCCTGCTCTAGTGGAAGGGGTCCCTGCCGTGGCAGGGGTTGGAGCTGGAGGAGCTTTAAGGTCCCTCCAACACAAGTCTGGGATTCTATGGTTCTGTGCCCTGTTCTGCAGTGCTCAGGCTGTCTCTGAAACTAATGGGGTTTCAGGCTCTATCAGCTGTGAACAGAGAAGGCCCTGATGTAGCAGAAAGACGCCTTCACCTTCCTTACGTTTTATGGGTTGCTCAGGACCTCCAATGGATGTATCCCAGGGGCTCATTTAGGGGCTTATGAGGTTATGGGGGTTGCAAACCCAGGAAATTGTTCATAAATATCCCTTTCACCCTTTAAATCTAGACTCAGAGCCACTACCTCCTGGCCTTGGGAGGGGTTGGCATGCTGGGATCTGCACCTTTTGCAGAGCTTCCTAAGAGGAGTGGTGTCACTGCTGCAGGTCGGGATGAGGGCAGCTCCCCTGCCAGCAGCTGCGTAGGAAATCACTCTACAGAAATGCCTCTCAAAATCTCAGAACTGCTCAGAGTGCTCCAGCCAAATACCCCCAGGCAGAGCAGGAGGGATATTGGTGGTGTGCAGAGCCTGGTCTTCAGGTACCCAGGGCCTGGAGCATCAGGCGTGTTTGTACCTCTGGGGAGAGAGGTACAGGGAAGCAGGGCAGCCTTCAGCACGGTAACAGGAGCTCTCTCCTGCAGGGCTGAAGGCAGAACAGTCGTCATTAGAAGAAGGGTTGTGGCTGGGGAGCTGTGCCCATGCAAGACAAATAGTCCCTTTTGGCAGGAAGTGGGGAGTGCATCTGATTGTATGCAGTTACAGCTTCATTTCAAGCCTATTGCTCGTGGCATACAGGCACGAGCCTCCCTCCGCTCAGTGCAGCCAGGGGAAGCTTTGGGCCGCCTATCCCCCATCTCTGCTTTTCCTTATTGTTTTTATAGCCATAAATAAGAATTTTATTGGCTTTATTCATGTCCTATCAGAGGCCAAATCACATCTGGTGATACAGCAATTCGGGGAATGCTGATCTAGTGAGACCCAGTGGAGCAAGAGGTGCTGAGGAAGGTCTCCATTCCCCACTCCCATCCCTGACTGCCCTTTTAGTTATCTTCCCAGCCAAAATAGTATGTGTATCCCCACCTCACCCTTGCTGCCTTGAAACCTTGCTCGGTTTCAAAGCTCCTGTGGTTGGAAGGCATTTGAGAAAACATCTAGGGCACGGAGGATAGGGGCAGGAGGAGATGGGGTGTCCTAGAAGCTGCTCCTGTGCAGTGCCCAGCCAGTGTGAGAGGGACACACACAGCAGGGCAGAGATGCTCAACTCCTCCTCCTCCCTCGTGCCTCTGGATTTGCGCTTATGGACTTGGAACTTAGGCGTAAACATGCAGGGATCCTTCCTGCAGGGGTTTTGGTAGCGTTTCCTGCAGGTTAGAAGATTGTAAGGTCTAGCAGAAGACGGAATAGAGAGGAACACACTTTATTTACTTCAGTGCATATTGGACTCCTAATAAAATTGAGGAGTAACAAGCCAGAGGCAGGTTTTGTTCCATTCTGAGGTGAGCCCGTGTGCAGCTGCTCAGCAGGTCCAGCAGGTTCCCTGTCAGATCCCTGGGCTCCCATAGCGGGTCCATGGAGCCCCCTTTCCCCATAGGGGCCCGCCCTGCTTTCTCCCTCAGGTGTGGGTGGCTTGCTCTGTGCTGAACTGTGCTCCCTGCCTTTCCCCAGCTCCCTATCTCCTAGATTCAAGCTGCAGCCACACAGTCAGGGCAGTTCCTCCCTCTTCCCTGCTAGGGTCTTCTCCCCATGCTTGGGTCTTGTTTTGCTGACCACCTCCATGGGAAGTCCCTCCTGCTCCTGTGGCATTCTCGTCCCTCTGGGTCACTGTCCTCTCCCAGACCAGCTGCTGTTATGTGCTCTTCTGCCCACATCTCCTCCTCGCGCTCTGCAGCCCCCCTGCAAGCTCTTCCCATACCTCTACCTTGAGACAGCATCTCACCAGGGCCACTTTGTCACAGCGCCCGAGGGGCCTTTGCATGTGAAGAGCAGAGCGGGCTCCCCCTTCCTCCTGCCCAGAAGTGGAGCTCTGGGAGAGCAGATAGCCAGGGCAGATGGGGTACAGCTTCTTCCTCCTGTGCCAGAGCCCAGCTGGGCTTGGCTGTCCTCCTTGGAATAGCAAACCCTGCCGTGAAACAAGGCCAAACCCCTCGTAGCCCTCAGTGATCCAGGTGCCTCCAGCCTGGTACATCCTGGCCATTTCTGGAGCATTCAGTCTCCCCAGATGCCCTGTCAGGTGTGCAGGGCGGGTATCTGCTTGTCCTCAACTCCAGATCTGCGGTGAGAGATACAGATGATTTAGAGACAGGGTCCTGGGCAACGTGCCTGATCAGATGCCCACTCGTGTGAGCAGATGCCATGAGTGGGAGCTGAAGCATCATAATCCAGCCCATAATGCTCTTTTAAAGACATTTCAGCAGCTCAGTGAACTGTCCACGTGTGTTTTCTCCCCCCCTTGCCTTTGCTTTCATGGTCATTTAAAACAAGTGAGCAGAGCAGAGCAGTGTGATAGCCACCAGTTCACTCCCTCCCCGTGGTCTCCCCATCACTTGGTGATTCAATGGCAGCAGGGGGAACATTTGTCAAAAGGGGGGTGGGAGCTTCCCACAGGGATGACAGCTCGCAAACCAGGACCCCTGAGCACCTAAGAGGAAATACATACCTTGGGTTTGCCTTTGAAATCCCATGGATGTGGTGGATGGAGCACCAGAGTCCAGCCTTGGAACGGGAGCAGCCACCCCCATCCCTGTTCCCATTGCATGCATGTGTCAGTGCCCTCGCTGTTCTGGCGTTGTCAAGTGAGGATGAAGGCCGGTGTTGGGGATACATTTCACGCTGCTGTGCAAACCCAGTGTGAGATGAGGAATTCAGGCCCTTGGACGAGGAGACAAGAGTGGATTTTCCCATAATGGAGCAAAGCAGGCAGATCAGAGCCTGCCAATTTCTCCTCAGTGCTCCCCACTTCCCTAGGAAGTTCAAAGGAGCCCAAGCTTTTAAACTGGCAGAGAGAAGTCCTTTGTGTTTATTTGAACCCCCACACAAATCCTTTTGGATCCTTATTTTTTGCGTTGTTCTCCCAACCTCTCCCTTGGAGGGTGACTTTCCCGGCTCTCCCCTGTTTGAGCTGCTGGAACTGCAGAGGTGGCGGAGGAGAATGCCACTGGTTTATGTGTTTGTGAACAAGTAATAGAGGTACCACGTTTCACTGGAAACCCATGTAAAAAGCACCCCAGGAGGGCAAAAAGTGACAAGGAACCAGACTGTTCAGCAGTGCAGAGCTTTTGCTGTCCTGCAGGAGAACACAATGTGGGGGACTGCTTATTCATCAGCAGCAGTAAATAATGGGTGCTCACCTTGAGCTCTCCTTCAAGCCACTTCTCCCCAGCCTTGGTGCTAGCAGAGAAAGGAAACAGGTCCTGGATGACAAACTGGGGGTTTATGGCTGTTTAGCTCTTTGTTTTCTCCCTGAAAAGCTCTGTTTTCATTGCTTGGTCTTTGTCTTCGCCAGCATCAAAAGCCTGGCCTGCATTCTGCCAGTCTGACACTGAAAATTAGGCCTGAGCCATTTGCCTGAACCTGTCAACCCCACATCAGAGCCCACACATTGTGTATGCAGGTGCTTTGGCCTGGGAAGGACGCGTCATGCGCGTTACTCATTTAATACCTGTATAATCTCATCTCTCACAACAGCACCCTCAGCAGTTTCTCTTACCCCTCGTGCAGTCCCTCGGGATGTGTTTCCATCCCTGTGCTAGGAGGAGCTATTGGCCCACCCAGCACCGGGGTGAACGGCTCCACATTCCCTTCTAGAGGAATGACTGCCTGCCCTGTGAGCCCATAGCCTCTTCACTGGGGTCAGACCCAAGAGCTGTCCCCCTGACAGCTCCAGCTGTCCTGGGAGTCTCCAGCACGTGCCTTGCCGTCACAGGTACACAGCATCCCTCTGCATGCCGGTTTCCACTGTGCCCTCAAGCTGAGCCTGAGCCTGGAGGCACAGAGGTTACAGAGCTCTTCCCCCCCAGCCATCTGCACTCCAAAGTCACCCCATCCTATATAATTTTCCAGTGGGGAAGAGATGGGCCGGGCAGTGTGGATGCGCCGTGCGCCTTGGATGTCCCAACAAGCCATGAGTGGCCGAGACCTGCCGAAGCGTGTTGACCAGGAGAGCTGGAGGCAGCGGCTTCCTAAAACCTGTGCTTTCCCTAACACCTTCAGAAAGTTTCCTGCACAAAAATGATTCAGGAAACACATTTCCAGGCTGTCAGTGCGACGCATTCATCACTCCCCTGCATATGCACCAGATTGTTAATGCTTCGGGCCAAATACCGTGTCTTTTTTTAATGCCTACAAAACGTGGAGCGCGTTGCTGGCTTTGTACTCATAATAATTATAAAAGTAACGGGAGTAGCTGCATTCCTATAGGCTGGAAATGGCCAGGCACAAACAAACCCCATGATTCATTGTTGCAATTAATGCTTGAGCTTGTACCTGTGATTCATTAGTCTGGCGATAGCAAAAGAGCAGGGTGAGAATTAAGGGAGACAAGTGCCGGCTGTTGAGATGGTTTGAGTGCTGTTTAGTGCTCCCTCCTCGGGCTGCCTCTGCCCCTTCAGTTAAAGGCACTGATAGACCCATAGGCAGGTGGTGCAGGGTATTTATATAACAGTGCTCAGTACAAAACTTCAAACTTAAATTCCCATGCAGGTCTCTAAATAGAACTTTGAAATGTCAGAGATGCTGAGAAGAATGCTGGCACCGGAGGAGCTGCCATCAGCGAGAGGCAATAGCAGCCAGATTTATGCTGGGCTAAATACGCAGGTGACTTTTCAGCTCTGGTGTTGGAGGGAGCCTGGAATGCTCTCGTGGACGTATTTTGTGTGGTGGGAGGCAGAGAAACCAAGAGGAACACGTGCTGCAGATTTGTGCACCTGGAGGTGTCGGTTGCTGGTCCCTATGGAATACAGCTGCTGTGATCTAATGCCAGCAATAGGTTTAGGTGTGATGGCTGCAGGGGGCCAGGGCAGGAGCTGTGGGGCTTTAAGCAGAACCCAGTGTGCTGTTTCCCCATGGTGCTGTGTCCACAGCATGGCACATGGCAGGTGATACTGGTGTAGGGATGGCACCTCGATGTTTCCTCCTCACAGGTACCACCAAGCATGGCTGCGAAGGGATAGGGTATGGAGAATAGAGCATTGACAAATGCAGCCTGTTGAGATGCTGATGGGGAGAAGGAGGATGAGAGTTGTTCCACTGAGACCTGCCCAGGGGAATGCTGTCCATGGAAAGGGCTTTGGACCCTTTCCTGGAGCATCACATCAGTGCAGGGCTGCAGTCTGCCTCTCTTAAATGACCTTTTGCTGACTTTGATCTCACAAGGTATTTCTCCCTCCTCCTCCCACCCTCCTTTTCCTCCAGGTGTACCCCTCAGTGAGGAACAGCTTTGTTCTGTTTTTACAGGTGACTTTGATGGGTGAGATGGAGCAGGGGCAGCTCCCAGGAGCCTGCAAGTTCCTATGAAGCACAAACCACTCTGTAGCACCAACCTTCTAAGGTGAGTCCTGTTGGCAAAGTTTCTCCTCCAGGTTTTATCCATCACTCTTTCTGCTGGCTCATTACCTTTCCCTTCTGCATATTTGTGCCTCCCAACGCCCCAATTCATTTCCCCAGATGCAGCAGCTATTGACCGGGTGATATAGATGGGGTTTAACCAGTCCTCCCGCTGGCTGCTCCTGAAGCGCTGACGAGGCCGATTTGTCTGTTCACCCATCAATCTGAAAGCACATGCAAAGTTCTAGCTCAGCTGACTCAATTGTTAGAGCTGCAACCCCAATGTCTTTGTAAATAAAAGAGTTTAATCTCATGGGGTATGCCTGGGAGAGAGTGGAATAAATACATCAATATGTAAATAGACCCACGGAGGAGGATGAACTGGGACTTTGCAAAACTGATAAAGCATCTTAGGAGACGTGTTGTCACTGCACTTCTTGCATATTCTGATGAAGCAGACAGCAATGCTGGGTTGCAGGAGAGGAAGGGAGGGAGGAAGCAGTGTGGGCACGAGCACACCGTGACCGAAATCCTTGTATGGATTGATTTGACTGAAATGTATTCCGAGGCTGGTCTAATTGCTACTTTAGTCTCAGGCTTTGATTCTCCTCTTGTTTTCGCATCTTTGCTGCTGAGTCTTTCCTGCATTTCAAGCAGCCCAATTGGGGGCAGAGTCCAGGCCTGAACCTCTGCTAGACCAGAAGAGACGACGCCTGTCTTTACTGAACCCTTCCACAAAGCAAAGAGGGCACAAGTGAAGGGCAGTGAAGGTCAGACTTGTTCTGGATGGGTCTCCATAGGCACAGCCTTTACTTTTTCCTGCTCTGTGGCAGCCCCGTTGCACTTCCACCGCACAAGTGGAAATACTGAGGCTCAGTTCACGAGCAGCAGCTCCACCTCGGGCACTTCTCTGCTGATTTCCAGGGCAAGGAGAGGAGGAGAAACCTCCCCCTGCATTGTCTGGGCACTGCCTCCCTTTCTGCAGGCTGAGCTCCAGCCCTTGTTTTGCAGCGCGCCACGGGGAGTTTTATCACCTTCCACAATGAAATCTGTCACCTTCAAGCTGCTTTATTGTGATCTGGGGACTTGTGCCCTGTCCGCTGTAACCCGGCGCAGGGCTCCTGCCTTCCTCCCCGCACCATCGCTAACATCTATCGACCAGGCTCCTCGCTGCAACCAGCGGCGGCAGCTTCAGGGACCGCATTCGTACTCGTGTTCTCACTGGGATCAGGCCATTAATTGAGCTGCTTTCTTTCTCTTTGCCTCCTTCTGTGCGTCTCAATCCCCCTTTTCTGAGGCTTTGCCTCCCCTCGCAGCCCGCTCCAATGTGGGGAATAAAACCCAATCAGACATGCAGCGTAGCCGGTATTCCGGAGGTGATCCCATATTTTAGAGGGGAATAAATACACGTTTTAAACCACGATACCCTCGTGTTGCATCAGTTGGGAAGATAACAGATGTTTGAATCAGATTAACTGCGTATCTTCTCTTGGAGAAAGCAGTACCAGTAAGCTTGGGGCACCCCTTCAGCAGCTGTGGCTTGGGTGGCACAGTGTGGTGGTGTGGGAGGCTGGCAAGTTTGGCGTGCCAGGATGAGATAAACTGACTTTAGGAATCTGCTTTTATTATATGCTAAGTTCAGAACACTCCTGCTTTCCTGTAGCTTCTATTGTAGATGCCTTTTTTGCTTTAGGGAGTCAGTAGTTTCATTTGGAATGCAGTTCTGTACATTTGCATACACATTTGGACAGGCTAATTAAAAACTTACCATCAGAGCTGGTTTTGTGCTAACAATGGCTCTACAAAACGTTTGTAACTCTTTGCAAGTGTCTGCTTTGGTGCAGAAATCTGAACTTTCTGGCAAATCATGTGGTCAGATCTTCAAGGTTTAGCTTTTCAATGAATAATCAGAACCTGCAATAACAGATTTGAACAAAAAAGGTGTTCATTGGAGTTTCTCCACAGGGAAAAAATCTATAACATGTATTATTAAATATAAAGAGGCTTATGTCTTGTGTTTCATTGTGCTAGAGCTTATAATAGCCCTTCAGAAGCTTGAAATGGGTTTTCTTTCATTAAAACACCGCGTTCCCCTGCTGCATTCATTACAGGCAGCATATTGGCAGGTGCCTGTGCCGGGCAGGCCTGGCCTGGAGGGCTGATCCCGACCCTCTCCATCAGCGCCAAGGGTTATTTCATAAGCAGTGGAAATGCTCGTTTCCAAGTGGATGTGGAGGGGGCGGCAGCAATGGACGTGGGAGGAGCAGCAAAGGGGGAGCTGCATTTCTTGGTGGCATTCTTATACATCTGCCTCCTGAGCAGCTAAGAGGGAACTGAGAGAGGTCCCTGGGGACGAAAGGGGTAGTTGAGGATGGGTGCAGCTCTTGCCCAGCTCCCCCTCTAGGCAGTGCTCTTAACTCTGACCTGTGCAAGTCCCTGCCTCTTATGCATGTGGATGTCTTGGGGAGCGTTAGTGCTCCAGGCCTGGGAATACAAGGATTTCCAGCACCACCAGCAAGGAGCTGCAGGAAAAATCTCATTAGTCTGCATCCCTTCAACTGTTGCATTAGCCAGAAGTGGGACGTGCAGGCCAGTGCTCCAAAGCGTTACTTTGGCATCCAAGCAGTCTTGGAATAAAGAAATGCTTCACTCATGTTTTCATTCCCCATGACTGAGTTCCAGCATCCAAAATGGGATTACCAGAAGTGAAATGCAGTTGAATTTTGCCTCTGCTGATGTTCATCAGCTGCTGTTCCAGCTCTGGGTCCCTGGAGAGCTCTCTAGTCTGATATTCATAGGATCCCAGACTGGTTTGGGTTGGAAGGGACCTTAAAGCTCATCCAGCTCCAACCCCTGCCACAGGCAGGGACCCCTTCCACTAGAGCAGCTTGCTCCAAGCCCCTGTGTCCAACCTGGCCTTGAACACTGCCAGGGATGGGGCAGCCACAGCTTCTCTGGGCACCCTGTGCCAGCGCCTCAGCACCCTCACAGGGAAGAGCTTCTGCCTAAGAGCTCATCTCAGTCTCCTCTCCTTAATAATCCTGTCCTAAGCCGAGGCAGCCAACTACCATACCCAACTGCAGAGGTTTTGTGACAAGGCAATGCAAACCTTTCCCAGCACACACAAATATGTTCTGCAAGATAAAAATAAGCAGTAATGAAAATGTTGTACTCTTCTGCTTTCCCTGTGTTTTTTCCTCTTTGCTTCAGGAAAGCAGGAAGAGGCAGGAAAGGATTGACTCTATCGTGCCGAGGGCTTTTCCGAAGATGCCTGCTGGGAACGCTGGCTGTATGTTTCTCTTTAGGAAGTGGCTCTTTTGATTTTCTCACTGCCTCGCCTGTCACGCTGAGGTGCCTGGAGAAGGATTTGCTGATTGCTGATGAAATCCATTCTCCCTTGAGATTCTGCTCGTCCCATCTTGATCAACTTTTAATTCTTGCTTTCTAATAACACCCAGGGACGGTGTTTTATGGCTTTATGAGGATTTGGTGATTGATGTTCATCTGTGCTTGCAGGAGACCAGTAACCTCATTTCATTTTTGACAGAGCATCGGGGGAAGAGCTCTGTACCCTTCGCCCTTCTTGGTCATGTATAAATGAAAGAGAAAGTAAAGCGGATATAATGTGTCCAGACCTGTCAGCCCATCTCCCTTGTCCTCTCTCACCACACTGGTGAACTTCTGACGCTGTTTCTCTCCCGCCTGGCACATGAGCACGTGTTTGAAGGACACCGTTGGCTCATTTTTGATATCCTTCCATGATCTTGCTTTTATTCTTGGTTCTGCACACCAGCGGCTGGGATGGTTGGAAGTAGCTGCTCTAAGCTGGTGTGGGAGTAGATTGCTTAAGCATTACCTCCCAGAGTCAATGTAAATTGAGAGCAGATAAGACTTGGACCCCAAATGCCTTTTTTTGACCCATTACTGTCTTCTTCCCAGTTCCATTCTCTCTGCTCTTTCTGATTTTGAGCAGGTTCGAGAGGAATGGGACTCCTGGTTCACGCTCAAACCAACCTTATCTGCGGTACCCAAAGGCACACACACAGGTACCCACCACTGGCAAAGGATTTGTCAGTAAAAGAAATGCTGGAGGAAGAATGCCCACAGTGATGAATTGAGAGACAATGCACAAAATCCTGGACCCAGATAACCTGGTAATATCATTCACCAAACTGTGACTCTGTTCTCATAGAGAAATGGCATTTCCCTTTACAAATCCATTTCTCTCCTTAGGGGAAAGGACATTTAGAGCATCTCTAGTGAAAAGGAGAAGGTGGAAGAGGCTGTGAGGACGCCGTGCTTCCTACACTGGTCCACAGATTCTAAACACAGGTTTGGTTATTTCTTATAGATGCTTATTTTTCCTCTCTGTTTTTTGCTTTCAAATATGCGCTTGTGTTCTCAATGAAGAACAGCTGAGAGATCAGGCAAATGGCTTAAGAATTCAGCGGGCTGTAAGCTATTTGGATTTAAAATAGTGCCTGGGAGAGAGCTTTTTACACTGCCTCGCTAAACAATCCTCCTTCTGTCACCATCTGAGGTTGCCATCCTTTGTTCCTCACATGTCGCCTTCCCTCTAACTCTCCAGAGCCTCCAAGGGAAGCAGGAGAAGGGCTAACGAGGGTTTTTCTTCTTCATTTTTAAATCCCCCCAAGTCCTTCTTTAACACAGCCCCCCCCGGCCATCTGCCTTTGTTTCAGTTGTGCTTCTTGGCTTTGTTTCTTCAGCATTACCCCCTCCTTGTCCCTTTGCAGGGCACTGTTAAACACTGTGGGAGAGCTGTGCAGAGGCAGCTCAGCATCCCTGGCCTCAGCCACAGCACTTGTAGCACCAGAGCCTGCTCGTCCGACTGTGGCCAGAGCCATCCCTGCTGCCTTTTTTGCTTCCCTTTCCCATGGCAGGGGGTTGGAACTGGATGAGCTTAAGGTGCTTTTCAACCCAAACCATTCTATCATTCTGCTTGCAAAAGCAAAGCTGGGGCTGCTCTGCTGGCGGAGCAGGGTGCTGGCATCAGGCACAACAAACAGGGCACCCCACTGCTTGCCCCGCTGCTCCCCAGCCAAGGCAGGGGAGGGAATCGCTGTCCCACCACGCTCAAGGCCTCCGCTGCCTCCCCTTCACGCACAGGCAGGTGGTGGAAGGAGGGTTCCATCACGCTCCGGTTCCCCCCGATTCCCCCTGCAGACGCAGACGGGCAGGAGGGAGGTGGTGTCCGGGGCTGACGGCTCATCCTTTTGCCCCTGATTTGCAGGGGATCGAGAAGAGGGCTGTGCCAAATGGATGGGCTCAGCTCCACGCACACAGGTGAGGTGAGGCAGCCAGGGGGCCCTGACACCTTTTCATCACAACCCTGGATCCACGGGAGCTGTGAGCAGGACCCATGTGCCACCCTCAGCTGCCGGTCACCCTCTGTGTCCTGCCAGGGGCAGTCTGCCTGCAGGACACACAGCCACAGCTTCTGGAGCGTTTCTAAAGCTATTTTTGTTCCCCAAGTCCTGTCGCTGGTTTTGCTGACCTCAGCAGGCTCCACCTTTTCCAAATGTTTCTGACGTTTCTCACAGAGTAATCTCTTCACATTGCAGACAAGGATTCTGCTGACTTCGGTTTGGCTTCTGTTTCCCATTGGATGGGCTCCTCTCTTGATGGGGGAATGCCTCAAGCCAAAGAAGAGAGGGGAAAAAAACCCCAGCCCCTGAGCTAACTGAAAACAGGCCCAAAGGGGAGCGCTTTCCAGCCGCATTGCTTCTCGCCGGCTGGCTTCTGTTCTGCGCTTGGGGACGTGCCAGCCTTCAGTGCCTCCATGCTTTTGATTCCTGTTTATCCCCGGCTACATGATTGTCTATAATTACATATAATCTCCTCCTTGTTTACTCTTCTTCCTCCAGGTCTGAACACAAGCACAACGGCAACTCTCTGCTCCGGCTGCCGAGGCTCCCGCTCCCAACTGCATCCTCCACCTTCTCTTGCAGAAGTAACAAAGACGTTTGGTTTCCTCCCAGCCCTTCTCCCTCCCCCTCGCTGGCACTGGCGTTATTTAAGCAGAATGTGGAAACAATTTGCAGGGAAGTGAACAATGCAAGCTGAGGAGGCGAGGGAGGCAAGCTCAGTGCGCGCGCTTCCAGCCCAGGAGAGGAGCGCTGCTGTCCCGGGAGGGACGCAGAGGGAAGGGACTGTTCCCCTTCTTTTTCTGCTCCTCTCTTTCAAGGTCCCGCTTTCCATCTTGCCAGGGTTGGGTCCAAACCAGAGCAACCAGATCTGACTGCGTGTTTTGGAGGGAGTTCAGGTTGGATCCCTCCCTGCATCACAGCCTGATGAGGCAGTATCTGTGTACTTAATCCTTGCGGAGGTTTTGCTCTCGGATCATTGCTGCTCCTGGATTAGCATTAATGAAGAGCATGTGTGGTTGAGAGGTCCTGATTCAGGCCCTGAGAGCTGCAGCATTGCTAAAGGCATTGTTTTCTGTTCTACATAGCTATTCCAAAGAGCAGTTTGGCTGGAAGATGAGATTCCTCAGGAGTTAAAGAGACAGCAAAGTCTAATTTCAGTTTCTCTTCCCTCACCCACTTAGCATGATGTTTTCAGAACATCCCAGCACCTTGCTAGCACCAGTGTGAGTGTCCTTGTAAATCAAAGTTTGCTTTAGTGCCCACCGAAGAGCTGAGCTCTGCTGGAGCCTGGGAACATGCAGGGTGTCAGCCATGGGAAGCTGGACCAGCATTAGATTTGGTACCACTCAACAGGTCTGAGGTCAGATCTCACTGTGCACTGGGCTCCGTTACTGTGAAGTCCTCAAACAAAAGCAGTCCAAACCCACACACCTTTGGGTGTTGCAGAGGGAAGGAAATATTCTCCACAGGTTGCACATCCAAGTGCCTGCCTTGGCAAGCTCCTTCCTTCCCAGGAGCTTGCAGCCTCCTTTCTCAATAGCCTCAAGACCTGGGACGTGATCCATGCAAGCTGTGCTGAGCTGGTAGGGCAGGGCTGGGAAGCTGCCAAGTGGGACACCGTGTTCCTCCCTAAACCAGGAGAATTTCCAGCTGTGAGCTGGTGCAGCAGATACACTGTGATCTGATGGCACAGAGGGACAGTTGGGAACCTGTAGTACGGCTGTTCCTCTGTGACGAGGAAGCTGCTCTGGGGCTTCCAACACAAGAGGGACGTGGAGCTGTTGGAGCGAGGCCAGAGGAGGCCATGGAGATGCTGCGAGGGCTGGAGCAGCTCTGCTCTGGAGCCAGGCTGAGAGAGCTGGGCTGGGGCAGCCTGGAGAAGAGAAGGCTCCTGAAGGGGAGAACTTAGAGCAGCTCCAGTGCCTGAAGGGGCTGCAGGAAACCTGGAGAGGGGCTTGGGACAAGGGATGTAGGGACAGGCCAAGGGGAATGGCTTTAACCTGCCAGAGGGGAGACTGAGATGAGCTCTTAGGCAGAAGCTCTTCCCTGGGAGGGTGCTGAGGCGCTGGCACAGGGTGCCCAGAGAAGCTGTGGCTGCCCCATCCCTGGCAGTGTTCAAGGGACTTGGAGCAAGCTGCTCTAGTGGAAGGTGTCCCTGCCTGTGGCAGGGGGTGGAACTGGAGGAGCTTTAAGGTCTCTTCCAACCCAAACCAGCATCTGATTCTCTCCACCTTCCAGTACTTACTGCTTCTTCTCAGCCTTCGTCCATGTATGAGGTGTGAACTTCTAGTGTTTGTTCTGTAAAGCCACACATCTGCTCTGCCACATGGATGTCACATGTCTCCGTGGACAGGCTGACCCTCCTAAAGCTAACGCCACGGCACTGAGACCATTCCAAGTGCTGCTTCTTTCTTTAGTTGGCTCTTGGCCCGAGTTAACAACTGTAGGTGTGAAACACAGAAAGGGCTGGAGCAAAGATACTTTTGCCACCTCTGTTTTCCGGCTGGGGTCAGTTCAGCTCCTTTCTTTGGGCTCCTCTAATTTCCACTCTCTCTCAGAAGTGCCCAGGGACAGCAGCAATTTGTTTTCCCTTCCAAGCCAGGCAGCAGCACAGGGCCTGGAAGCCCATGGCTGGGAGCAAGGAGTGGTTGTCGCAGTCTGCCCATCCGTGTAGGAGCGCAGCCTCTCTGCGGTGGCTGTGGCCCCACGGAGCAGTGCCTCTCACAGGTATCACTCCATCCACAGCAGTGCCTGTGAGCACAGCGTGCTCCTCAGCCTGGCTGCCTCCCACCCCTGCAGCTGCCCCCTGCAGAGGCTGTGCATGTCTGCTGCAGCCTGCCCAGGCACGCCGCATGGGTGCTTTAGCTGGCTCGCAGCGTACTGCGTTATGCAGAGCCCCCCGGTCCCTCCTGCAGCCACGCTTGCAGGCTCAGGCTGTAAGGACAGCAGCTCTGCTGTTAAGGGGTAGTCTCTGGACCCCCCCCCCCGAAGGCTTTAGGGCCAGACAGACATTTCCAATCTCTTTCTGGCTCCCAGGGGTCCCCCTATTACTCCTGGAAACCTGTAGCATTGAGTTAAATTACATGGAGAGCTCGCGACTAAACAGCTTACAGCAGCAGTACAGGTTTGGGCAAAGTATGGTCTTGCAGCTCTGCCTAGAGAGACTTTAAAATGCCGAGAGCAGAGGGATCAGTGTGAGTTCAGGGAAACAGGCATTGGAGCACTTGTGCTTTTTCCCTTCTGGTTTTAAATGTTGGAATTCTCATAAAAAATATAAGAGAAACTCCTTAGAATGATTGTGCTGCTGAAACCATTGCTGGCTTTTTGGCATTTCCTCCTTCGTCTTGTTCTCTTTCTCCTTAAATCATTGCTTTTAGGGCTCTTTAGGTGGGAACAGATTTGTGGTGTTCTTTTCCTGCTGCTCACCTGAAATCCTCATCTGTTTTGTGCAGCTCCCAACACAACCATGAGCAATCTCCTGAACGGAGCGTTCTAACTTCAGGTGAGGAAAAGCAACCGAAGCAGATGGGCTTGTGAACAGCAGAGGCTTGGCTCTCCCACAGAGCTCCTTGCGGAGTGGAAGGGAGCAGAGTGGTTAGTAAACTTTCATTTTCTGGGCTGAAATGGGATGATCTGGGGGGGTAGGACAGCACAGGAGCAGCAGCTATCATGTCCTGGCACAATCAGCTGCTCCCAGCAGAAGCTGTTCGTGTTTGAACTCGTAGCAAACTGGAGAATATGGGAAAGGGGGGGATGTTTTCCACATCAGGGAATTTGTGGGCAAGGAAAACAAGATTTCCAGCAGCCCTTTTGCGCTAGCATTTTAGTCTTGGTTTCTGAAGAGGCGTCCTGCTGTTTATCTGCCATCCTTCCCTCCCCGTGAATTACTTCTCAGACTGTCAGTCAATCAGTGGCTTCATTGAGAACAGAATTCCCACAAGTTACCTGAAGCTTTGCAGCTGGACAGAGGAAAGAGAAACCCAAAGGAGTCCCCACTGATGGAAGGAACCTCCAGCACGCATCCGTCTGGGGTAGCAGCAGCAGCCAGCTGGCCGGGCAGCTCCAAATGAGCGTGCACTGCTCTTTGTCCAGCCAAGCACATGCAGGGCTTGGAAGTGAGCAGGAATACTGCAGGGAATGGCAGGGGGAGAAGATGATCTGTGGGATCTAATTCCCTAATAAGCCAGCTTAGGTTTCTCAGGGGTGCGCTTGTTGCTGCAGTGTTCCATGAGTGCAGTGACGGTGAGGAGCTCCAAGGTGCATCAGCCTCTAGTGGGACATGCAGGGACCCCGTCTGTCCATCCTGCCACATCCTCTCCTGCAGGTGAACCACGGGGACAGTCACAAGGGAGATGGGCAGAAAAGCCTGGTGCTGCCATGGACCATCAGGGCCTTCAGAGCAGGCACTGGCAAACCTCTGAGTACATCTGGCTGTCCCCCAGAAGCAGCACATGAACTGTTTCCTGCAGGGACACAGATCCCTGACTACGTAAAGTCCGTGTTTTCTTGCCCTTTCCTTACCCTGTGTGTAATGCAGCCTAAGCCTGAAGCAGGCAGGCAGGTGTCTTCCCCTACTAGAGGGCTGGGGGCTCCTTATTTTTCTTTCACGCTTGGACAGGACCCTTTTTCCTGCCATTTCCAGCCACCCTTCGCTTCCCAGAGATTCCAGGGGGATTTGGTTGCTCAGCCTTAGAGCCAGGAAATGAATGAAGAGGGGCAGGGAAAGAAAGGAACCAGAGTAAGGAGGTTCACTTCCATCATTTATTGAGCCCAGAGAGAGTTCTCGAAACCACATGTTACCAGGTGTAAAAGAAATGAAAGATGATAACCAACGTGGAAGGATGGAGCAGCCCAAAACTCCCACAGGCCGGTGAGTCTCCAGACACGTTGGGGAGGCTTCAACAGCAATTTAATGTGTACCTGCTGGCAAAGAGCAGCCCCTCCTCCTTGTGCCTGTCAAGAAGAGGTCCTGATTCATGTCAGTGTTTTTTTCCTTGGACAGGGAAACTGCTGCAGATCCTGGGGAGTGCAAGGGTCACGGAGGAGAGAGACCTAGGAAAGATGGTTCCGCATTGGGATTTCAGAGAGGTCTGTGCTTGATCTAGGGTTGAAGAGTTTGTGTTTCTGCTGTTCTTGGGGATTGGGAGGGGGGAGATCACTGAGTCCCTGAGTCCTACTGTAAAATTGTTAGAATCTGGAACAGATTCAAAAAACCAAAGACATTTAGGGACAAGTAAATGTGCAGAGCAGCTTGAATTTACCTTCCACCAGAGTCCTGGATAAAGCCTCTGAAATGGGCAGTGCTTTCATCATAGAATGGTTTGGGTTGGAAAGGACCTTAAGATCATCCAGTTCCAACCCCTGCCATGGGCAGGGACACCTCATACTAAACCATGGCACCCAAGGCTTTGTCCAGCCTGGCCTTGAACACCGCCAGGGATGGAGCATTCACAGCTTCCTTGGGCAACCCATTCCAGTGCCTCAGCACCCTCAAGTACCCATGTCCGGGGACTGAAAACACAAGAAGGAATGCTGAGGGGGAAGGGATAACACTTTCTTTGTTCTTAGAAAGGGAGAAAAAGCCCCAAAGTTCTTTTCCTGGGGATGTCTCAGCTGGACAAGAACCACTACAGGGTAAGGTGTCCCAGAAGCTGACACCGGCAGGACCGGGGGGCTCACTTTGTTCTGGCACAAGTCCTGCTGGCATTTCTAGGGAGATCTGTAATTGCAGGCAATAACCTCGGAGGTTAATCGAGGTCTGACGAGCAGGTTTGCTGGTCGGGGGGCAGAGGGGGCTTTAATGAAGTGTCTAGCTCAGTGTTGCTTTAAGCATTTATTGCGCCTGGGAAAGGGAGCTGCAGTATGAGCAATGACACCCTCACACGGACCCGCAGACAGTGAACCAGGGGGGCTGGTGAAATCCCATCGCCTGTTACAGCAGATGGAAAAGAGCTCTGAAGTAAAGGAATTGTTCCTGTTTGGTTTGGGCCCCACATAACTGGACTCTGGGTAAGGCCTGATTGCCTGAGAATGGGCGCTCAGCAGAGGGAAGCTATCCAAAAAGCAGACTATAACACATCTGAATGAATTCCTGTTGCCTTATTTCTCTTTTCTGCTTTGCCTGTCATATTCTCCTTCCAACTTTCCAGCATAGAGTGACTCTTCTACTTGTTCCCCTTTGCCTCCTGCTGAGTCAGCACCTTTATTTTCCACCATTATTTGTACTGCAGCCACTCCTGGAATCTGGGAGATCTTCCTCAGAAGTTTCCTTGTCTCCTGAGCTTGCTGCCAACGCTCCCACTAACACTTCTGATTCTTTGTTATAGAGAAGAAGAAAAGGCCACAGAAGTGTGCCATGACACCCACTGAGGTGCCCTTACCCTGCAAGTCTTTAAACACTCTCTATGCATTTGGCTGCCAGAAAGGGACACTTCACCAGGGACTGCAGTGATAGGACAAGGGGTAATGGGTTCAAACTGAAACAGGGGAAGGTCAGGTTGGAGATAAGGCAGAAGCTCTTCCCTGTGAGGGTGCTGAGGCGCTGGCACAGGGTGCCCAGAGAAGCTGTGGCTGCCCCATCCCTGGCAGTGTTCAAGGGCAGGTTGGACACAGGGGCTTGGAGCAAGCTGCTCTAGTGGAAGGTGTCCCTGCCTGTGGCAGGGGTTGGAGCTGGAGGAGCTTTGAGGTCCCTTCAACCCAACCCAGGCTGGGGTTCTGTGATTCTATGATTTATATTCGCTGAGAAATGCTGGAGCAGGAAGCCCATGGACTGAACTGGCGTTGGCACCTGAAGAGAAGCAAGTGCTGTGGCCAGGTATCGGGCACCGGGCGCTGGTTTTGGTTTGGACGCTGACTCACGCGGTGAGCTCGGGGAAATCATTTCCCTTCTCTGTGCACCTGCTTCCACTCCCCACCTCTAATTACCTCCTGGTTGGGCTCCGTGCTCCTCAGGACACGGCCCGTCTCTCACTGCATGTACATACAGCGCCTCAGCACAATGGAGCCTTGTCTTGGTTGGAGCCTTAAGGTGTTCATCTCATCCAAACAGGAATAAAAGGTATGCCCAGACAACAAGGCAGGCTTCCCAGACGTGCTGCTCTGCAAGCATGTCTGAAACCCAGTGTGCTGGGAGCTGCCTCTGTTCCCAGTCCTTGGCTTCTCCCAGCCGGCCAGCAATGCATTACCCGGTTCCAGTTACACTGCAGAGGTGAACTGGCACGTTCCCAGTTCCACTGGGAGCTGCTGTGAAATCACTGAACTCATTTTGCAAACTCCAGCAGAGCCTGATAGGATCCTCCATCCCTGCAGCCCCAGATAGGAGCCTCCATCCCTGCAGCCCCGGGTAGGATCCTCCATCCCTGCAGCCCCGGGTAGGATCCTCCATCCCTGCAGGCCCGGATAGGATCCTCCATCCCTGCAGCCCCGGATAGGAGCCTCCATCCCTGCAGCCCCGGATAGGATCCTCCATCCCTGCAGCCCGGGATAGGATCCTCCATCCCTGCAGCCCCGGACAGGATCCTCCATCCCTGCAGCCCCGGATAGGAGCCTCCATCCCTGCAGCCCCGGACAGGATCCTCCATCCCTGCAGCCCCGGATAGGAGCCTCCATCCCTGCAGCCCCGGATAGGAGCCTCCATCCCTGCAGCCCCGGATAGGATCCTCCATCCCTGCAGCCCCAGATAGGAGCCTCCATCCCTGCAGCCCCGGATAGGATCCTCCATCCCTGTAGCCCCGGATAGGATCCTCCATCCCTGCAGCCCCGGATAGGAGCCTCCATCCCTGCAGCCCCGGATAGGAGCCTCCATCCCTGCAGCCCCGGATAGGAGCCTCCATCCCTGCAGCCCCGGATAGGATCCTCCATCCCTGCAGCCCCGGATGGGAGCCTCCATCCCTGCAGCCCCGGATAGGAGCCTCCATCCCTGCAGCCCCGGATAGGAGCCTCCATCCCTGCAGCCCCGGACAGGAGCCTCCATCCCTGCAGCCCCGGATAGGAGCCTCCATCCCTGCAGCCCCGGATAGGAGCCTCCATCCCTGCAGCCCGGGACCTGCGCCACCTCCCTGCGGGTGCGGAGCTCCTCACTCAGCCCTGAAGCTCAGAGCCAGGCCGCCCCACTCTTAGCCCACACTGGCCTCAGCCTGCTCCAGTTTGCCAGGGGAGAAACGAGCAGAGACATTTTCCTCCCTCGCCTGACGAGGTGTGTGCGCGTCTCCTTGGCTCTTCTTCTTGACCACGGGCTTTTGCACAGCCCCTTCCTCCCGTTGCCCGTTCATTCCCTGCACTCCATCTCGTCTTTTGCATTCCTCCCTGGTTTGATACAGCATCTCGCTGGTCCTGCTTCACACCAAGAGAAGGGGTATTAGATGGATTCCCCATAGAGTATAAATTGAATGGAGAGAAGTGGCTGGTTTCCCAGCAATAATTTATCTGATTAAAAAAATACTTCCCAACCTCCCCCCCCCGCCCCTCTGCTGGTCCCGCGCCCCCTCCAGCAGGAACACTGGCACTCGGGCTAGCGTTTGAACTGCATTATTCACATTGCTGGAAGGGGGATTTAGATGGGAAAATAACTGTCAAAAGATGGCTCTCGGGGGACTTCCCCGGAGCGTGAGCTCTGAAATTTGGATCCTGGCTTGTTGGATGGAGGAGGCAGAGAGTAAATAATTGTGAGTCAAGGACCACTGCGATTGCCAGCTTTGCCCTCATCTAACCAACACCTTACACAGCTAGGCGCAGATGCTCACACACATGCTCACACACGTGTCCCCACACACACATTTCACAGAGGAAGCCATTCGCAGGAGCTCCAGAGCACAGCAAGCTGTTCTGCTCTTCCCTTCTCCCCTCTCTTTTGTTTTACCTCGCTTCAGGGCTGATTCCAAATACAAGAAGAAATCTGCTTCAGAAAATGCCCGTCTGCCTGGGCAGGTTTCATTCCTTCCACATCAGCGCTATCCAGAGCTGCTCATTTTCTGCTCCTGCCACCAACATTCCTTTACTCACATCGAGTGCTGTAATCGGGGAACGGGGAAGTCACCCTGAGCCCCCTGCTCATCACAGCAGCACACGGGGGTGACCTGAGCTCCTCATTTCTGGCCTGTCTGTATTGCGCTGTTGCCTTTTCCTTCGCGGGAGAGCGCCAGGTATTTTACATGTCATCCTGCTCCCACAGACTGCAGTGATTTATAACAGGAGCTGCCTTATTAATGTCAAGGGCAGAACTGCTACCAACATTCCAGCTGCAAGAGCGTATGAAGATCATTCCGTTAGCTGTGGCGTGCTCCCAGCACCCAGGGCTGTAGCTGATGTTCCTCTCTCTGCCCGCAGCATCGGCCAAGTCTGGGTGCTGGTTTCTGGGCCACTGGGTGAAACATGAACAGGCCCAGTCCAAGCTGGAGCTTTTTCAACCTCGGAGCAGCCCAAAGCGAGTGGTGGGGCTCAGGTTTCCGTGCTTTTGACAGAAGCACTGCTGGGATGGAGCCTCTCTCTGCTCCTTCTGGAGGATTTACACTGCCACAAGGCTTCATTTTTTCCAGATGTTTTACCTAATAAATCAAGGAGTCTCATCAGAGGATTCGAATCCAAAAGCTGTTACCATGACTTCAAAGCGCAGGCTGGAATGGAAAGAAGCAGTGCAGACATTTTGTACCACTCTAGACACTGATCATGAAAACACACTCCGCTTCCAGGGTTCCTTTCCCTGTGGATCCCAAAACTCCACTGGCATTAAATGAAAAGGTGCTGTGCTCCTCCAGCCAACCTTTGCTTTAAAGAATGGAGCTGCAGCGCTCACAGGTCCTATGGTTGGCAGTAACTGAGGATGGGGCTGGTCCTGGGTGGAGGTGAGCTCTGCCACCCCCTGTCCCAGACTGGGGGCTGTTCCTGCAGGTTTGGACTCGTTCTGCGTCTTTTCAGCTCAGTACGAGGCCTCGTGTTCTCCCTGAGAGCTGGTTTAAGCTATTCTCACGTAAAGGATTCAGACATCCATTCACATGCTTCAGATGCTTGGGAGAGGGGAAGGTAAAGAGTTACATGGCTGCAAAATGTGATTGCTCAAATTGGTTTGTTCCTTGGTGGAGAATGTAACTCTCTTCTTTAAAGATAGTGAACCCTTTCTTTTAACAGTGTCTACACAGTGTCATTTGCTTTCACTGTTACACTGCTAAAGATAAATGCTCTGGTGTTTCGAGAAACTGCTGTGTATGTGTTTCTAATTACTTGATAGCAGGGTACAGGTGGAGAATGTAATGAAGGAAAGCAGCTGAAGGAAGAAAAGCCGTTCCTGTGGGTAGGTGAGCAGAACACCTACAAGGCTGTGTTTCGGCTCCCTGCGCTCCCAGAAAGCGCTGGTGTGGCCCCAGCTGCCCATTGGAGCTGCCCAAGTTAGGATCCGTTCTGCAGCAGCTCCTCCTGGCAGCAGTACCAAGGTAAGCTGCTCTGCTTCACCCTGTCCCTCATCTCCCCTGCCCATGCACATACCTGAGGGGCCATCCACCAAACAGCTTCCCCTTGGATTTGTCTCAGCACTCCAGCACTTGTACGAGCAGGACCGAGTGGGTGGTGGCAGCCAGGAGCAGGCTGCTGGTGGCATGGCTGGGAGCCCCTTCAGCCGTGAGGAGAGGTGCCCAGGTTCAGTTTCATGAGAGGATTTGGCTGTCTCTGCCCCAGGGCTGCCCTGTGCTGCCTCCCTGCAAAGCCACGAGGAGGGGAAGCCTGGACACCCCCCTGGGGGCACCTGCAGCCGGGGGTGTGAGCGGTGACTCTGCCTTGTGCTGTCTGAGGGTTCTGCTCCGTGAATAAGTTGTCACTTACTGTTGGCTGCGGAGGGAGGGCTGAGCTACCCCTGTCTTACACTGGTTGCAGGCTCAAAGCACACGGAGAGCTCTTACTGCAAAGCAGATGTGTGGTAAAGTGCTTGCGGGGCAGGTCTGTAAGGGGAGTGGAGGCTGCAGCCCTTGGGGTGCTGTGAAAATACAGTGCAACCCCCAGTAAACACTGTAATTACATAGAACAGACTCGGGATGTGATTGTACTCCAGTTAGATCATATTCCATGTGTCCCAGGCAGCAAGCAGGGCATTTCGTCCTGCAGCGTATGTAACCACCATGGGCGCCCAAGAGGTGGATGTTTCGGAGAAGGGGGCGTCATGGGCATTCTGGTGGAGGGCTGTCAGAGAGGGAGGAGCCAGGTACCTGCCTCCTGGGCAGTAATGGTGCGTTCAGGCTGAAAAATAAGCTCATCTACATGTTGGTAATGGAGTAACAGTTACCGTGATGCAGCTTCTTCCTGCCACAGGCGTAGAGAAATTGCTGCTTGCCTTTTCCTCCCCAGGATGCTGAACCCAGCACCCCAAACTGCCCACGGCTGCTCGGGATTGGTGACATCGAGAATGCAACGTGTTGGGCTGTCAGAACGGAACGGGAGCAGCACAGCTTGGCTTCGGGAGCCAAAAATAGGTACTGTCATTTGTGAGCTGGAGCCTCCCTTCACGCTCCCCACCCAGCCCTGCCTATTTGGCACATGCAGCACATAATCATAAGTGTTCATGTTGCACCAAAGAAAAACACGTTCCTAAAGCAAGCAGTGCGTTAAGCAGTGGACAGGCTTTGGAGGCAGGGTGTGTTATGACATGGATCCTGGATTGGGGAGCATCAATGATGGTGGTTTGCAGATTTTCTGTGGGCAATGGGTATAGAAAGGAGCACAGCTCATCTGCTGCATTGCCATGTGGAAAGACATCAGAGATGTTCAGCGACGTGCTGTAATAGGGAGCTTGAATTCCTTTCACCAAAGAGCTGCTCAGATACTTGTAATTGAATGATTGAGTGATGAATATGGCACATTTGAGATTTCTCTGGATCTTTTCTCTCTTTTATTCTGCAGCTCTGTGGATCTGTCATGCTTTCACCTTTGAGTCTGCTCTCTGGAATCAGTATTTGTCTGCTTCTGCCAAACCCCAAAAGCTGCATCTCATTAAAACCCCTGATTATTCAGGAAGAGTGAAGTTTGATTCACAAGGATAACGCTCTTTGAAGGTAGACTCCTTTAGTGGTGACTGATTTAAATGGTTCCCATTTTAGCATGCCTGTTATGCTGTTCTCAAGGCCACACAAAGGAGGAGGAATTGTGCAAGGCCATATAAATCAGGGTTAGTTATAGGGATGTCAAACACAACTGCACCATGGGGTGTTAATAGTGAGCAGGCGCGTAGTCAAAAGCAAGTCAGAACCAACTAACAAAAGCCACAAAGCTAATCTGTCTGGTTCCTGATGCTTCCCAAAAGCTCAGTGTCTGCACACTCATGCTCTGTTCCGGGAGAAGCTTGGGGTGTTAGACTGATCCATATCACATTTTCAAAGTGTTCCAGTAATGGGATGAGTCGCTTTGGTGGAACATCTTTGGTTCTCAATTTCTCCCATCAGGAAACATCTAAAAATGAAGCAGTGTGAACACGTAACCAGACCACGTCTCTTCCTACTTACTGACGCCAAGCTCTCTCCACTGGATTCATGCTCAACTAAAGCAGTGGTGACCCGGCCTCTGGACACACAGCAGGGACCTGTTGGGTTAAACTTCAATTGAGGACTTCGTCATTGTGTGGAGGAAGAAAACTCCCAATCTTTGGCATGGAAATAAGAGATTCCTCCTGTCCCAGCAGCACTTTGTGGGCAGGGTGGAGGGCAGCCAGGGAAATGGAACCAGACTGAGAAATGTAAAAGCCCTTTCAGTGCACACTTGAAGAGAAGGCTCTGGGACATCGTTTCCCATGTGCCTGACCACAGGTACTGCACATGCCGGAGCGTACGGGAAGCTTTGAGCCCTTCAGGTTTGCAGAGGTTTCTGCTCACTCTTTCCATCACTTGCTCTTGTCTTTGAGACTCAGGGCTGCATGATGGACTGTGAGTCTTGAAAGCAAGTTTATGGGCACTGAGCATGTCATGGGGGGACAGTTTTCTCTCCAGAATGATGGTGTGATTTTTGCACCTTTCCAGATACCCATTAGTCCAGAAGAGAAACTGAGCTCAAACCTCCTGAAAAGTGGTGTTTTCTAGCCCAAAAGAAGCTGTTAGAGCTTTCAAGTGGGCCACAAGACTTAATTTTTACCGAAGGAATTCAAGACGGTGGCAAGTTTCAGGGGTTGAATGTAACTTGTGAGCCAGGATCTTGGATGATCTCATGAGTCCATTGGGCAGACTGCACACACAGGCATGCACGTGCGCCTGTGGGCACATACCATTGTGGTTTCTGAGTTAGGTTTTGTTATTTCTCAATATTGACATTAATATTCAATGATTTATCTTGGTTGCTGGTAATTACAGCAGTGAAAGTGCTGACTCTTCTGGGACGTGACATTGGCTTGGGACAACCCAACATTTTGTGGGGGCCTGCAAAAACTGTTCTGCCCGTTACCCTCCAGCCCCAAGAACATTCCTGGTTCCTCTGATAGCATCCTTAAGCACAACTCTACATCTTCCATGTAGATGAATGACTTGACACTTCCAAATATTATTTCTTTTCCAGGAGTTCTGGGTCATCACTCTAAGCTGTTTGAGTTCTACCTCTTCCTAGTAAGAAGGGCTTCAGCTATCTCAGCTCTGCTCCTCCAGCATCCCTCCATTTCATAGATTATGTTGTGGAAATAAACACATTTGGCAAGACTGGTGAGCAGGGAATGAGGAGAGCGTGATGCTGGTGCCCTGATGTGGAAGACAGTAAATGGAATAGGAAAGGAATAGTCCTGGTAGGGAGGACAAGCTGGGTGAACTCCAGGAAGGGAACAACAGAGGGTGCTGCAGGTCACAGCTGAGCTGGGCTGTGAAGAGGGTGGCACATGTTTCAGTTGAGGTGCAGGGATGCAGTTGTGATCCCTGGGGGTGTTGGGTTGGGTTGTGATGGTGACAGGAATAACTGGGTGGGAATGATGGGTCAGGAAAGACTGAGGTGCAGCTGGATGAAGCCAGGTACTAACCAGCAGTTAGTGTTAGGAGCTTGTGTCTCCCTTTAAAAACCAGGTCAAGCAGAGCCCTGCTTCCTCTCCCAAGCCAAAGGGCTGCGTCTAGGAAGCTGAGCTTGTCTGTGGGAGCCAGGGGCGCTGTTGGGCAGAGCACAGGAAGCGCTCAGACACTGTGCACACAGGTACCCTCCAGCTCCCTGCACAAAGGCTGGATGTTGCCTTTGTGAACATTTGGCAATTATAACATATCATGTGCGTCAATAATGCCTCTAACTTGCCTTAATACCTTTATATGAGAATAAAATTTGTTCTTGTATGGTGCTTTTCATGCTCGAGGCAGTTCAAAGCGCTTCGCTAAGCACGGTAATGAGTTAGATCTGGGGAGCGCAGGGATTGTGCAGGCAAATACAGGGACTATTATGTGCTCTGCAATAACTCACAGAGCAGCCTCTGCTAGAAAAGGTTCTATTTATTGAGGGGAAGGATGTCTGCTGATTCTTGTGCTTGTCCTCTGGAAGAGTTTAATGCTCTTCAGCTTCCACGGCGAAACTGAAGCCAACAAGAGACCTCGATGAGGGACAGCACGTGGAGCTGTGCAGCACCGAGGCAGCCGCGTCTGCTGTGCTGAGGGGCCCGAGATCAGCTGCAGCCCTCCATCCCAAGGTTTACCTTTCTCAAGCTTATTACATTCCTCTGAACCCCCTCACTGCCTTCGTGCTGGCTCTGTTACTTGATGGCCTCATTTACCTTCATTTTATTTCTAAGGCAGAAGCCTTTTTTGTGCAGTACTTTCCACCCCTAGGTCTAGAAAAGGGATTACTGTGGTTTACATTGGCACTGTGAAACCCCCTGGGAGTACGGCTGTTCTCCACTGGAATAAAGGGAGATTTAAGGCTAGACCCAAGGAGACATCTGAAGAGAAATGTGCACAACTTTTAGGCTCCTTAGTCCAAAAAGGAGTCCTGAAAAACCTGCTCTTGGCTTTCCCTGCTGCGGGAGCTCCTGTGCACGGCAGAGTCCTAACTTGCAGTGTCTAACTTATTCCCGGGCCTTCTCACAGGCACCTGGGGGATGTCTTCCCATAGAGACCTTTTCTGCTGAGCTCCTGACAGACTGGCTGGTGTTTCTCCCTAAAATATATGGATCAGCATGATCTGGTGTGCTGGAGGAGGGCAGTAGCTGTTCCACCAGCCTGCCCACCTGTGCTGGTAGATAGATGCCCTGTGCATGACTGCAAACCACCGTGTGCAGCCCAGGCTTCAAAGTAAAATCTCGTCTTTTCACCTTGCCTAGAAAAGGCCAGATGATCCCTAGAACATTGCCCTTGGCTTCTATGGGAATATAGCAATGGTTGGGACACCCTTCCGACTATTCTGTAGGCCTTGATGGAAAAGATACATGATCCACTTGGGCTCTGCAGCAGTATTTCTCCATAGGGGGCCAGCTTTTCCCTATTACTGTATAATGAATTTCTGACTACAGAAGCCTAAATAAGAAAGTGAGTGGAGTCAGAGAGGAAGATGCTTGCCCTCTGTGTGTTGTCTCAGTGTACACATCTTCAGAGACTCATTACTTACACACCGACCTGCCCGGTGCAGTTGATGGGCTGTTCAGTGTACTGTGCTTCCTGAGCGTTTGCCTCCATGGCAGAGGCTCTACCCTTTGGTGTCCCCATGGCACACGCAGCAGTTGTAATTAGCAACACTCTTAAACACAGTTTCTTTGGCATTTGTGATGCCCCAGGAAGCACCCCACGTTCAAGGGCAGCTTTGAAACTCCTCCTGATGCTCCTGTGAGGCCACTTACGCTGCTGTTCCGGGGAGCAAAGGGAATTTGCATCACTTTCCGGCATCTCCTCCTACCCAGTGATTTGTGAGTTCACTCTGAGAAACAGTCATTGCCCCTCTGGAGTCTGGAGCACCAGAGGGTTTCATTTGCAGTGCAAATGGGGCAACCCCTCTGACATGAACAGAGCTGGTCAATTTGGGGTGTAAACGGGAGTCTTATTATGGAACTCACTTCCTAACCATCATAGCAGTGAGGATGGCAAGGTGCCACTTCAGGCTCCTCTGGAACGGGACAGGGGGAGCAAGACTACACCCAGCTAAGACTGTAAGTAAAGACTAATACTACCTCTAATTGAAACCAGACAAAACCAGCCTACAAGTGCTGTACAAAAAGTGGAAAGCAAATGCTTTCTGTGTAGGCATTAATCTTCATGCCTGACTAGGGTCATAAGCAGTAGAGAGAGTGCATGCAGAGAAATCAGCTCACTCAGCACCGGTCTGTAAAGGTCTATGTCCAGTTTGGCCCTTAATTCTGTTTATCTGGGGCTATTGATAAGCTCCTTTCAGTTTCCCCATGAAAATCTATATGTCAGGTCTACTCTTGCACGTAAAGATCCGTCACTGATTGCTTGGGCAGCTGATTTGGGTAGACAGTTCACTAGTCAATGGTATCTTAACTTTGCATCCTTTTCTGCTGCGGCAGGAATGCTGGGGATGACTTCAATCTTATTCTGATCTGCTTGTACACAGTGCTTTTCTAATTTCATGCCTAGGTATGGCATTTCCATTACAAAGGAGTTTTGTTGCTGAAGCTCTGCTGGTCTGGGTCTTTCCAAAGCTGATGAGAGCTTGTGGTCATGTGCTTCTGCTCTCTTCCCTCAGAACAAAACATCATCTACACAGACCCTGGGCTATCAAAGGCCATGAAACAGTTCAAGTGCCAAACACAACCCAGACGGCAGCCTGAGAAAATGATGTCTCCCATAGGGGCTGTTGAATACGCACAAACGTATGGTCTGTTTTCCTACCGTGCCTGTCAGAACCCTGCTGATGCCTCCAGCAGAGAGAACTATTTGGCAGAGGCCGCTTCCCCCCAAACTTTACTCTTTGCAGGAAACAGACCTACGTTCTTTCCCTACGTATTTATTTGTGCTTGACTCTGATCACAAAGGGCCGCATTTTTCCCCTTTCTCTGGTGACCCGTGGATGTCCACGTGCTCTCCGTTCTGCAGTTCCTCTTATCTTTCAGAGAGCTCTGAGCCTTTTCACCCCTTCCTCTGTGCCTGCCGTACTCCATGCAGAAATTCCGTCAGGAGATGAGCTTTCGGATGTGTGAGCGCCATTCAGGTTTACACAGCACCCTGTGCAGGCTTCCTGGTATTGTTAAATCCTCATTCTCCTGTTCAGGTGAAGGTGTTCTCCTATGAACAAGGCTTTTCAACAAGCATCTATGCTGCTAATATTTCAGACCATTTTGCTGTCTGTTGTGTCCCCAAACACTTAACAGTGGATTCCTTTGCTCAGAGAGAAGATCCCCACTGCAACTTAGAGCAGTTATACTCACTGCCCAATTGCAAGAGTGTGGTTGTTCCTCTTCAGGGGGGTTTAACTGAGTTCCCAGCACTGCAGAACTTGGTATGCAAGTTCTAATGAGTTAATGTCTATTTCTCTTCCAGGCTGTGGTTTGCTCACGTGCTGCTGCGGTGTCACCCACCCTCCCCAGGCCCAGGAAGTGCTCGGAAGGGGGATTTTGTCCATGCTGATGGCTGCGTTGGCATTCCCGTGTTCCTGATGTCATCGCATGCATTACCCTTTCCCTAAAGGTGAGGACTGCTTTCTGTTGCTCATCCCACTCTTCAGGCCCATTGTGCAGGTTTTTGCAGGCTGCTTCTGAACACTACAGGTCCTGCTCCCTTCCCCTGTAGACGTTTGGGTTACTGGATCTCTCAGTCAGCATTAGTATAGATGTGGTGACTTTCCAGTGCTGCTTTAACAGATCCACAGCCAGAAAGGTGGGCTCCTGTGGTGCAGCAGATCCAGTACGGGGCTCATTGATGCCCATGTTAATTGTGAGTAAAAAAAATCTACTTCTGTGTGGATGGTTCCAAAACCCAGTCAGGATCTCTTAGGTGAGTTCAGTTACCCTTTCGGCACTGCAAATAAGATATTCAGGTGAGAGAATCAGAGCTTTCTGTGCTTAGGCAGTCTTTACATACATTATAGCTGCCATTCTTAGGTGAAGTGCAAGGTTTCTTTGCCTTGTCACATCTAACATGATTGGTGTCATTCACCTGCATCAACTGGAAATTAGTAAAACCTTTTGTGTGTCAGAACTGACTGCGCAAGACTGAGAGAGCTGGGCTGGGTCAGCCTGGACAAGAGAAGGCTCCTGAAGGGGAGACCTGAGAGCAGCTCCAGTGCCTGAAGGGGCTGCAGGAAAGCTGGAGAGGGGCTTGGGACAAGGGCCTGTAGGGACAGGCCAAGGGGAATGGCTTTAACCTGCCAGAGGGGAGACTGAGATGAGCTCTTAGGCAGAAGCTCTTCCCTGGGAGGGTGCTGAGGTGCTGGCACAGGGTGCCCAGAGAAGCTGTGGCTGCCCCATCCCTGGCAGTGTTCAAGGCCAGGTTGGACACAGGGGCTTGGAGCAAGCTGCTCTAGTGGAAGGGGTCCCTTCCTGCAGCAGAGGGTTGGAACTGGATGAGCTTTGAGGTCCCTTCAACCCAAACCATTCCATGAGTCCATGATTCATCTTTCTGGTTTGGAAATTGCTCTTGGTGAAGTATTTGCCCTGTTGTGTGTCAGGGTTCTCACTGCTCACTTCCTGCAGCAGGAGCCTGCGCGCAGCATGTGCTGTTTTGGGATGTTTCTGGAGGCACCGTACTCCATGGACTGCTGCATTTGCCAGAAACTGGATGGAATACTTTAAGAAAATGAAAGGGAATAAGTGAATAGGAGCGTTACATGAGGGTTCCATCCTGGTGTCTTTCACTGGTACTTTTTTTACAGCTTTCTTTTTAAGCTAAGCATGATACATGAGCTCTGCTCTTTAGTAAAAACACACTTTAACAGCAGTAGCAGCAGTAAACATCAGTAGCATGGCACTAATACTGTTCCATGTCATCCCCTATGCTGCATTCTCCAAAAGCAGTGCTTCCTGAACGACTTGGCACTGTGAGAAGTAGTGCCTTGCTACTAGTAGTGCTGAGATGGCAATCCCAGAAGGAGCAGGTGAGTCCTACCTGAAACCTGGTAAGTGGGCAAGAGATCAAATGAAGAAAGCTGGACCACCACTTGAAAGGTGGTTTAGACAACACTAACAGGTCATGAAGCAGGCATCAGCCTGAAAGAGGGTGTTAGAGGCAGACTGCAGCCATCTGGGGCTAGAGAAACACCAGATTTGTGAGAAAGCTTTTCTTCCCCTGTCAAATATATCTTATTTGTTACCTGCCTCAGAGGGCTCGCGTCCGGAAAATGTCATTTCTTTTCTCCATAGAATGTAAATGTTCATTCCAGATGATACAGACATAAACTTCAATTTCTCCTCAGCCCTCGCTGTAGGTTTCTGAACATGGAATGAGTCTTTTTGAGAAATGGATTTCTTATTGAATACATACACTTCTGTGCTTCAGAAATGAAGGGCACTTCTGATAGCCTTAACCTCTTTCTCTACCAATTCCCCATTTTTAGCAATGGAAATTTATTCCAAGCGTCTGAATTCTTTCCAGTTTTTGGTAGTGATCCTACCTGTTCTATAGGAGGTGGCTTAGCCCCTTCACCTCTTCCTGGGCCAGGCTACTCAGTGGGCAGTGATGTTCAAAAAGCACCAGTCTATCGCTGTGGGTGAGCATCCTTTAGTCTCCTGCTCTGTTTAGTATCTCTGAACATCTTTGTGTCTCACTTAGACACAAAGTCACATTCTGACCTCTTTGAAACTCATTTCATATTTCCTAGAATCAATACATCTCAAAGGCAGCAGCAGAAATGCCAGGCAGTCAATAAGCCCAGTCAGGTTATGTAGAAGTAAAAGCGATGTGTTGTAAGGGCAACGTTTTCTTAAGGAACTGCTATTCAGGCATATTTGTTGTTTCAATTGGTCTGATTTAGTGGCTCAGGCAGGGGCTGCACTGGAGCATTCTGACCCTAATTTGATTTCTGAAGCTGCCATTCAGGTACTGAGGAAATAAAAATATGTGGTAAAACCACCTTGTGACAGCAGACATATAGCTCCTGATGTGCTTAACGCACAGCGTACCCGCGGGGAAGATACAAGGGTTCATGCCATGAGTGCCTGCATTTTGTATCCCATTGGAGCTGCATGTTTTGCTCTCGTGGCTTTGATCGCCGGGTCCCTGGGAGGAGCATGGAAAAATGGGAGAACGGTTGTGTTCTTCCAGAACTGTTGCCCTAAAGGGATGTTTAAACAAAAAAGCCCAAATTAATGCCAGTGAGAAGTGCCAGATTGACAGCTTCAGGAGCGAAGCGTTTCACCTGTTTGCAGGCTGCCCACGTTTTATCTGCTGGAGCTGTCAGCCCAGTATCTTGCTCAGCACAAAATGGATTCTTTTCTTTCTAAACTGTCCTCGTGTCTCCAAATTGCTCAGTCCCGCATCTGAGACAGATTCAGGCAGCACTAATGGGGGTAAGAAGCTGCAGAGCTGAAAACTAGGAAGAAATGCTGGCAGACTTGCCCTGTTCTTGGAGATGCTTAAAATTTGCAGGAGGCTCGAAATGATTTAAAACTTAAATGTATGCAGAATGATTCAAGGCGTAGCTCTGCTTTCAGACTAGAAGCTGCTGGGAACAGAGCTTGTTTCTCTCCTTAGCAAATCAGGGCTTTATTGCTGTTGCTGCTCTCTGGAAAGCAACCTTCATGCTCTCCTCCGACAGCTGCCCAAACAAGGTCTTGTCCAGCCTTTTGCAGCACGTCCAGGAGCTGCAGCATAGAATCATGGAACGGTTTGGGTTGGAAGGGACCTTAAAGACCATCTCATTCCAACCTTCCACTAGAGCAGGTTGCTCCAAGCCCCCTCCAGCCTGGCCTTGAACACTGCCAGGGATGGGGCAGCCACAGCTGCAGGACCCCCTGCCTTCCTTGGTGGGAAGGTGCTTTGAGAGACACCGTGGTCATGGTGCACAGATCGTGTGGCAGGAGGTCTATGGCAAAAGGTGAGTCCTCCAGGACTCCAGGCATCCTTCAGTGGCACCTGATGAGCCTGAGGAGTAGAGACCTTGTGTAAACGAAGGCTTGGATCTGTTGCTTTATGGCATTGGTAATGAGCTGTTGAATTTACTGGATCGAGTCAGATTGGGTCTCTGCACTTTAATGCATGGATAAACTGACATCTAAAGCTGCACAGTAAGGTCTGCAATGTACCTGATGCATGAACCTGAAGACCTGCTATGAAGTTTCATTCTACAACTCTTTGAGCTTGTCCCTCTTTCAAGTGACATGGTAAAAATGAAGTCCAGTATTTTTTTCCATGAAAACCCCACTATATTTATAGGAAATTCCTTCACAGCATCTGAAGGGGTGATGAGGTCTTAAGGAGCATTCCAGCAGGAGGAAGCAGACCCAAAACTAAAGGACTGTGAGATGTGTATGAACAAGATAATTGCTCATTCCAGCAAACAGGACTCTGTCCCTGTCCCAGCCTGTTGTCCAGCGTCCATATTCTTTCCCATTGCTGCGGATCATTGTCCCTGTCTTCACTACATCATAGCAATGATGGGTGCCTCTGGTTTTGAACTGTTAAATTATTGGACTAATGTAATTTTGTTCATGTTTACTATTCTGTCAGAAGGTTCTAAAACAACTCTGTGTCTCCAGTTTCTGCCATTTAAAGCAGAGGCAACTTGGGGTTCCCAGAAGCATTAAATATGCATATTCAGTTTTGAACACCTAAAGCAGTAAACGGCTTGAGATACAAACCAGCCATGACTGACCAGTGACAGCACTTGTGGGAGTTGTAGGTGCTGACCCAACAGTGGGATCTTTAATTTGATGCATGAGGCTTGCTCCATTTGTAACGTGGCTTTGTCTTCCCACTCGCAGGACTCCGCAGGTGCAGGTGATGAGCCCCCTGAGCAGTGGATGGCTTCCAGAGCTGGGAGAGACAGCAGCGGGAAGCCACCGGGAAGCATGCCTTAGCCTCTTGTGTGAGTGCAGGGGGTACGGGCTGCGCATGGGGAGAAGTGAGGCAGGGAGCAACTGTGCCAAGAACAGGGGAAATGAAGGATTCCAGCCATATGACCCAAGACGTCAGCTGTACCTATCAGGGAACCAAAACCCAAAGTGACAGGGTTGTGCGAGTGACCTGCCATGCTGGGCAGAGGGCAGGTTTAACTGGTATCTGTAAAGTGTGCTGGGATAACCAGGAGCAATGGGCTGTATATTTTCCAGGCACCCTCTGTTGCTGGTCTGAGATTGTTTCCTTGATTCCCCAAGCCCAGAGGCAATGACTGTTTCCATGTTCTGTCAATTCTCTTCCTCTTGTTTTTAGCCTTTCTCCTCTCCGTGTTTTTCCTCTCCGTTTGGAATTGCTCTCACACCACTGCAGTCCCCTTTCCCTGCCTTGGCTGGCACCAGCACCAGGAGCAAATGGGGTAGTGTTTACACAGCAGTGCAGCTGCTGGACTCAGGAGATGTGAAGTGTGGACCTGTTGTGCTCCCTTTGGTGACTCACACCACCTCTCCCTGCTTCTGACCTCCTTCAGCCTTCCTGCCAGGCTGACCTTCTCTGGGGAAAGGACTTGCTTTTAGTGTGTGATCCTACCATGTCTAATACAATAGGACCCAACCTCAGGTAAGACCTTTAGGCACTCCCATTATATGAATGAGAACAAGATTGTTGGTGTCAGTAATTAACATTCCTGTGGGATTGTTGGAAGTGCTTTGGGATAAACACCACCTGGAATCCTCATTTGGCTTATGTGTTTTTTAAGCTGTAGAGGAGGCTGATCCTGTTCACACGAGAGGGCATGGACCATCTGCCTCTTCTCTTACTGGATAAGCAACAAAGTCTTGCAGCCAAAGATGGGTTACAGTGCCCCAGTGAGAAGTGGGACACTGGAAAAGCAACGGCATTGAAGGTGGGGAAGAGGAGTGGAGACTCCATTATCAGTTTGTCTCCAGTAATGGTCTCGTCTGAGAACAAAGGCAATATGACAGCCACCAAAACAGAGAAAAATGCCAAACTAAGTGCCACTGATAACAATGTGAATGCCTGTGGCACAGTGTCATCCCATGACAGGCTTCCAGAGATGAAATCTCACACTGGTTTAATGGATGGAAAAATCCAGTTGACTGCAATAACATCAGGCTTTCCCCTTGGGGTTACCTGCATTTCTCTCCTGAATGCCCAGACAGCCATAGCCCACGTTGTTATGCACATGCTGATAACAATTAAATTATTCTTTTCCCTTCAAGTGTGGATTGGATGCAGTAATCCCTGCCTTTTGGATTCTAGGTTCCCTCTATCTACATCTGAAATCCCTAAATAAACAAACACTGGATTAAACCTCAACAGCTCCCTCTGCTCAGCAACTGAAGCCTTTAAAAGCATTTCACACCAACTGCTCTGCTCTTGTTTCAGACTCTCTTCACCACTGACTCAAGCCAAGGAGCTCCTTCTTGCTCTCAAACTTGCCAGGGAACTAACCTTAGTTATTGGAAGGTCTGGCTCCATCTATGACCCTCCCTGAATCTGTTGAGGAGCAATAAACGTGAAAAATGAATGGTAAAAGGAAAATCTAGGCCCTCCTGAATGATGAAAGATGTGCACCTTCCTGGCACTATGGTGCTGGAATTGGCATGGAGACCTACGCAGGAACCATCAGACAGGTCATCACTGCCAGGAGTCATCAGTGGATGTAGCTGGTGCCTCACACACAATGGAGGCAGGTCAGCAGGTTAAACTGAAGGTATCTCACAGCTGTAACTCTTCAATTTTATGAGCCAGGTCTTTATTTGTGCTGCAGCTCCTTCTTATCCCAAACCTGCCTTAACCAGCTGCTAGAGGATGCCCAGCAATGGAAAATCCTCTGGATAACAATAAATTGGTGCAATGATTCAGTGTCACCTTGCATCCCGCTAAGCAACAGAGAAATTGTGATCAGAAAATTGGCCATAACCAGAGCACCACTGAACAATTGAATCCTAATTTCATCACCCTTCTTGTGGGCAACAGATAATCCCATGCAATTTACAGCAGCTCTGAAGTGGCTCCAAATCTCAGCAGGAGTCAGTTCTAGCCTCAGGACAGAGGAGTCACAGCAGATCAGTGAAGCTGTCATTGCTCCATAAGAACTGCACCAAACCCAATAGCTGGTTTGAAACACAAAGCACCTCAAGCACAAGACAAAACTTTAGTTGCTGTCATTAAGGTCTTCCTCGGCATCCCTCTCTGGGAAATACCGTTTGTCCATGCAATGACCATGCACACGCTCCCAAAGAAGGCAAATGTTGACTTGAGAACTGCAGGATGTCAACCTGTGAATGACAGCATTAAATCTTGGCGGTAAGGCTGAGAGATCTGCAAGAGGAGAAAACTACTTTTCCCACTGAACAGTGGCTGCGGTAGACGAGGTAAATAGAGTATCTCTGACTATTAAAGGGTGAGGGAATGATTTGTACCCGTATATCACACATTTGCACCCTAAAAGTGGCTAGTTTTGTTTAAATCAAGAATGTAAAAGTTTAGAAATGCCGACATTAATTTGTCCCCTTTGTGCATTTGCATCATGAGCCACTACTTAATTGTAATTAGATCACACGCTGTTCCCGGCCTCCCTTATTGTACACAATAGACTGTACTAAGTAATAATTGTATTTTCTCGTCACTGTTCACTGTGTGGCCTGTGCTTTATTTACTGCACACTAGTCAAATATTGTTCTAAAGACAGATTTATTCATTTCCTCCTGGGTTTTTCCATGGTACTTGTCACTATGGTATCCGAGTGCTTCACAAACTCCAATTCATTTTCTCAGTAGTGTTGTGAGAACTGGTGTGAGCATTATTTTACAGATGAGGAACTTAGGCATACAGGCAGAATACTAAAAAATGTATCTTTTAATTTTAGCTATCCAATTAGAAATACTCATGGCCTGGTTTTGTCAGAAAATATAACATGGCAAAGCATCTGATTTAGTCAAAAGTTGAATAAATTCTCATTCACTGCAGATGTATCTGCAAGTGCTCTTCACTTCTGCAAATCAGACTTCAAAATGTCAAACCAGGCACCTCGGAAGTGAAGCCTGCACAATTAGTGCAGCCCTGTCAAGTCTCTGGTTTGAGCTCTGTGCTGCGCATCCTGCAGGAGCTCTGAGGCTGAAGGCACCTCCTGGAGCAGCAGGTACCCACCTCGCTGCAGTGCTGCACTCGCCTTCCCCACAGTTAGTCACAGGGTACATGAAATTCCTACATCTCAGTTTTAGAGTACATGAAGTGGAAGTTGCTCAGGCACTTACCTTGACCTTGGTTCAGTGTCTGAGCACTGGCAGCCTTTATTCTGGTCACTTCGTAAGTTGGGAGTGTTTTACTTTGTAGCCTAATTATTGTTAGTTTAATACATGTGTGTTTCTCCCCCATTCAGAGGTAACCAAAAACCCCAGCAATTTAATCCTGTGTTGCCATTGATGTAGGCCAGCAGCAGCAGCATGGAAACTTATCCTGTATGAGGAACAGAATAGCTTGTATGAGGTCCAGCACTTGGAGAGGATGAGGTATGTTCTCAGTGTATTTCAGACACTTGCTGCCAGTAGAGACATGGGAGTTTTCCAGGTGCTCTTCATTCCCGTTCCTAAATCCTCAGCTTTCTGCTCTGCCTCCTTTCCTCAGTCTGACCCATTGCAGTCTGTCCCTGAAATGTTTCCATTTCTACATTGCTATCTCTCCAGAATTCCCTTTTCTTGGTACCCTTGCTGCATCCCACACACCCCCTCAGGGTCCCACATCCTCCTCCCTTGCCCTGCTCCAGCTCTCCTGCCTGATCCCTTTTGCCCAGCAAGTTCTCCTTCAGCCCGTAGCCAGAAAACAGATAACTCCCGCTCCGCCTGGGCTGCACATCCTTCTCCCGGCAGTTTTCTCCCATTCCCAGTCTGTTTTCAAGTCTTCTCCCACAGAAGGTTGGCCTCCAGACTCTTGCATGTGGGCTTTGCTTTATCCCTCCCTCAGGCAGACCCAGTTTCCTCTTCCAACTCCCTGCTCCCTTTCACTGCTGTGGAGAACATGTCTTTCTCCAGGCCCTTTGTGCCTGCCAACTTACTCGTCCTGGAGCCAGTTCTTGTCCCCATCCCATGTTATTCAGGGAGCTTTCTGCTCAGTGTTTCCCAAGAGGACTGGAAGGACGGGTTCCTTGCTTGCCCTTCCTGCCTTCCAAGGCTTGGCATGGTCTGGAGCAGTCGGGAACTGGAACTGCAGGTCCAGCTCTGACTCCCACAGGCTTGGGCTGTGATGTGCTGGTAAGCCCCCCACTGAGCACAAAGAGGATCCTCAGGCGGGTTTTCCACGGTGGATTTTGAGGGAACACCTCTCACAAAGTGACTTTGTTTTCAGAATCCAAGATCCCAGACAGAAGGAATGAAAGAAGAAACGTTTATAATTTAACCCGAGGGGTGGATTTAAGATGCTTAAATTTCAGCACAGTGGTTAGTCTGGCACTATTAACAGTGACTGAAGGTAGGATTTTATGGTGGGAATTGCTAACCAGCTTTAATAGGAGTTATGCCACCAGCCCTGCCTTTTAATCAGTGCTTCAACCTTCTGTATAAATTACAGTTCTTTCCTGGTAATCCTTCTGGCATATCAGATATCCGCGGAGCTCGGCAAGCATAATACGGCGAAACCCAAACATCCTTCTGAGGAGGTAATTACTCATCCTTGAGAAAACGCTCCGGGATATTTTTAGTGGAGGACAAAACCCCTGTTTCCTGACAGCAGAACTACAGAATAATGAAGTTTCACCATGAGAAGCACTCCAGACACCTGTATGGGCTGAGAGCTTGGGCTCACGGCGACGGTGCATCAGTCCTGCGTGTCGCGGAGTCTGTGCATGCACACTTGCGTTTGGTGCCCTGCAGAATGTGTCAGCGTCTGCCCCACTGCAAATCCCGCTGGATCAGGGGTAATTTCATGGGAACAGAGAGGCATCTGCACCAAGCAGGACTCTGTCGCCACAGGCATGGAGTGTAGCAAGGTGAATGCCCCTGAAATCCTTCCTTTCTGCCTTAGCAGGAGTCTCACTACCACGGCAGAGGCCTGTTTCTTTCGGAAACAAGTGATTTTAAACTAGTTTTAAACCATTTTGCAACACAATCACCCATTTTGGCGGATGGACCCGTGTTTCACCTCCTGCAGTGCCCCACGGGTTCACTTATCTCGTGGTTACTGCTTCTGGAGTCCTATGTAATTAATGTACTGGAAAGAGACAATTCAATTAGTCAATAATAAAATGAGTGAGGATAGCGGGCACATAGTAACAATGTAATTTAGTGGGCAACAAACTGAGATGGAAAAAATATCAGGGTACACTTCACATGATTAATGAAGGGGGAGTGTACGTTTATAGCCGTTTTTGTGTCCTCTGTCAGGATACAGCACCCAGCGGCAAGAGTGAACCCGGCTGGTGATGCTGCAGCATTCAAACGATCTGGATTTGAATGGCAAATGCTGTGCAAAACTAATTACCCCCAGGAGGATGGAAACATTTCATTTGCCTTTTCGAAGTACGTTTGGTCTTTTCCTCACAGTTATTTATCCTCTGGCTTGTTGAGAAACAGGCTCGTTGTGAAGGCCGCAGTCAGCGCGGAGCAGCGGGGACCTCCGCTCCCCACACACACCGAACAAGGTCCCGCGGGTTATTTTCACGGGGTCAGTGAGGTTTCCCTGCTCTCGGCAGCTCCGGAGGCCCGATCGCCGCCGGACCCCGGCACCACACTGCCCAGCGCGCCCCGCTGCGCCCGCACGGACCCCGCTCTGCGGCCCCGTGCGCGGCCACACCTGGGATGTGCGCAGGGCTCCGGCTACGCGGGGACGACACGCGCTCATGGCAGTGGGCACCGCCGCCGGGGGCACGGGCACGGGCACGGGCACGGACCCGAAGCCGGAGCCGCGCCCGCCCCGGAGCCCCCTCAGGGGCTGAGCGAGGGCTCCCGCTCCTCAGCGCCGGCTCCCGCCTCCCTCCGCGCATGCGCGCTGGTGTCACCGGCGGGCGCGCGCGCACACCTGGCGCGAGGGTCGGCGGCGGGAGCGGCGCGCGCGCGCCGGGGGGGGGGAGGGGAGGGGAGCGGCGGGGCGCATGCGCGCGGCGGGGCGGGGCGGGGGAGGGGGGGTGTGGGCGGGAGGCGGTGAGGGGCGGGGCGCGCGGCGGGCGCCCCTCAGGCTCCGTGCGAGGCGGCGGCGCTGGGAGCGGGACCGGGACCGGGACCGGCCCGCCATGGACTGACCGCCCGCGCCACCCCCGCTGCTCAGCGCGGCGGCTGAGGGAGCCCCGCCGCCCGCCCAGCGCCGCCGCCTCGGGGGTGCCGCAGGGGCTCGGCGGAGGAGCGCGCCCCGGCCGGCGGAGCGGGCAGGAGGAGCCCCCCCCCCCGGGGGAGGGGCTGGCGCTGGGTGCCCGGCTGCCGGGCGCGGGGAGCGGAGCGATGGCGGCGGGGAGAGCCCGGCGGCTCCTCGGCTCCCTCTGGATCGCCCTCCTCCTCGGGCAGCCGGACCCGGCCGGCGCCGCCGCTCGGAGCGGCTCCCAGAGCCTCCTCACAGGTGAGGGGCTGGGCGAGACCCTGTCAGCGGTGGCGGGGGGGCGCTGAGGGGGTGCGAGCCGTCGCGGTGGGGGGGGGCGGTGCCGGTCCGAGCGGGTCCCGGCGGCGCGGGGCTGCGGTCGGACGGTGTGGGCTCGGCTCGGCGCGGTGCGCGCACCAGCAGAGGCCACTGCTGCCTCCGCAAGCGGGCGGTCACCGCTGGCGCGGAGCGGGGGGGAGCGGGAGGCACCTGAACCCGGTTACCGCCGCGTGAACGCTGGAGCGAGTCACCTGCGCTCCGTGCTCTGCGGGCGGGAGCGCTCCTGGGACGAGTGCGAGCTCCAACGGGCTCGCTCTGGGCTCGGAAGACCCGGCTGGTGTTACTGGAACCGGTAGGGACCCCTTACCGGAGAGGAGGTGTCGGGCAACCTGTGGAGAGAGCGGAACTTGACTGGAAGCTGAGCAGCAATAGCCCAGAAATGAGCGGTCTGGCAGCGGTTCAGCCGCTGTCGTTCTCACACCTTTTACCATTGTTACCTCTAACGATCCGTTATTGAATCCCGGTTCTTTATAGGCTACGGAAAACGTAATCTCATCCAGGTGAATGAAGCACGGTGTGTGCATGAGGAGGCTTTCTGAACACGCTCTTGTAAAAGGCTGTTAAACCATAGAAGGTTCCCCAGGTTTGCAGTGGTGTTGTCTGCACATTTTGCAAAATACTGACTTTGAAAAGTAACTTGTTATTTTTCCCCTTGTCAGCAACAAACTAGTAGAGAGCTGAGAAGAAAACCTGCTCTTGAATGCTGAATGCTAGGTTTTCTTTTCAGATCCTCCCCTGTAGGCTGCATCCTGATAGTTTAAAAGCAAGCTCGTTGCAAGTGGGATTTGGAAAACGCTGCTCAAATGAGTGGTTTTTAGCTTGGTGGAAAAGTGAGACTGGTTAAACTCTGCTATTGAATGGTATAGTTGTCTTGTTCCAAATCACACAGTAATGTCTGTGATAGTCCTCACCTAGGAATACTGCTGATGCAGCCAGGTACGCTGACTCCTGTTGACAGGGGATGTGTTTATTCTGTTACAGTGTACAGGCTTTGCAGTTTCCAGGTCTGCAGCAGTTATTCTTTTGTATTTTAGAAAGTATTGTACTTGGACTCAAGGATCTACTGCATGTGTGTAATAGGTAGGTTACTTCTTGATGTGTGAGGTCTTTTTCAGTACTCGCTGCTCTGTGGAGAGTTCTCTGTAGTTATTGGGTTGGTTGCTCTTTGCTACGTTAAAAAATGCTTTATGGTTGAGGAATTCAGATTGATAGGTGAGGTTCTAGCTGTTGAAGTCAAATGTGGGAATTAAGTCAGCAAAGGGGAAGTGATATGCTAAAATATGGGACATAAAACCTTTGTTGAAGGTGACTGGTTATCAGAGCGGGAATTCAGAAGCTTCCTTATGGAGGCCTTGGAAGTTGGAGTTGGTGAGCTCCTACTCTCTCCTCTTTCTGTTTTGTGACATGTCAATGGGTCTTGCCCTGTTTCTTCTCCGGTGAGGACCAGATGCCAGGCTTTCCCTCACCCTGAGGGTGTTGGTACTGGTTGTTTAGAGGGAGAGGCTTTCTTGATTGGTAGTCTTAATGAGGATAAGATCCTTCATGCATAGTGATGAACTCCATTTGCATTTGTACTGTTTTCCACCTGAATATTCGTGTTTTTTCTTAATTGGAGGATGTTCCACATACTTTCATATTTGGCAGGTGGGAGAGGGACACTCAAGTCCTTCTTTGCTTGTAGGAGAGGAGGGAGTGTGGTACAGATACTTCACATCAAGCATGAAGGCAATCCCCTTTGTGTTTGAGATTCAAGTGTGACAGTGCTGCCTTCTGTCCTGTGTCATGTATGGAGCTTGATCTCTTTAGCATGCTCAGAAGAGGCTTCTTGGGTTGGTGTAAAGGGCTGGAGAGGCAGAGGAACTCCTAGTGTCTAGGTCTATCTGGAGTTGAGCTGCACGACTTGTGTCTCTGCTTGTCCAGACTGCTCTGCTGCTTGCTGTGTCTGGAATGGTAGGGTTTTTAATGCCAAGAAGAAAAAAATGTTAATTTTGGTGTTGGTGAAGGTGACCTAAATGAGCAGAAATGATAGATTTGGAAGCCCGTATTCTCTCTATGTAGCTGTGTATGTTTGGGTGACATTTGATTCCATCTGTAAATAACCAGTCATTGCTCTCTGAAGAAGAAAAGAGAGCAGCTGAATTATTTTGGGGAAAAAAGTGTTTAACTTCATTTATTTTTCCATATAAACATCAGTGTGTTTTCTAGACTGGTTGGTTGCTTTGCAAGTAAGGTAAAATGAGCTACTGATGTTAGAATGGGGACAATATTTCACTTAGCTAAGGGAATAAACCCAAGAAAATCGGTAGTAGAGAAGGACCAAATTAAGCTAAATCCTGCCTCCTGTTAACTGTTCAAAACTCAACACAATTTTGATTTGTACAGTTTTGCATTAGTAAGTATATGATTGAAGTTGGTGTCCCCTTTTAATTTTTGATAGGAAAGCTGTGATAACCTGTGCACACCATTAAGATTGCAAGGTAGATTATGCAGAAGTGGGAGTTTTGTTCTGTCTCTCCCTGGTATTTGTGAAGTCCTCAGAATCAACATGTATTTTGGTGTTACAGGATAAACTGGCAGTTTTGGAAGTTCATGATCAAATGTAATTAGAAACTGGGCATGAAAGCTGTGTGAGACTCAGAACTGCACAGGTGTGTTTAGCCACATGATTACAGATCATTGGTGCAGTGTGTGCTGCTCTATCATAGAATCCCAGACTGGTTTGGGTTGAAGGGACCTTAAAGCTCATCCATTCCCAACCCCTGCCATGGGCAGGGACACCTTCCACTAGAGCAGCTTGCTCCAAGCCCCTGTGTCCAACCTGGCCTTGAACACTGCCAGGGATGGGGCAGCCACAGCTTCTCTGGGCACCCTGTGCCAGCGCCTCAGCACCCTCTCAGGGAAGAGCTTCTGCCTAAGAACTCATCTCAGTCTCCCCTCAGGCAGGTTAAAGCCATTCCCCCTTCGATGCTGCTTCTGAAGTGTGAGAAGTAAAGAAAATGGGAGCATAGATTGTCTGGCTTCCTTAGAAGCATAAGTCATAATTTGTTTCCGTTTTGTGTGCACTTGATTATTTCTAAATATATCACAAGGTAAGTATAGATTAGAAATATTCAGGTCTCGGTTACATCCCAAGTCACTTAAATGCAGGTCTCCAGTTGATGTCCCTGTTTCCTATAAATCTGGGATATGTCAGCCTCATGTGTGTGATCTGGTAAAAGCAATTTGACCACTTAGAGCTCCTGTGCTGTACAGAGCCCAACACCACTGCTTCT